TCCATCCATGCACCAAGAGGTCACTGTTCAATTCCTGGTCAAGGCACGTGCCCTGGTTACAGGCTTGATTCCAAGGAGTGGTGTGCAGAGGCAGCCGAGCAGTGTTTCTGTCTCTCTCCCATTCTCTCTTTCTAAAAAATCAATAAAAACATATTTTTAAAAAACATGACTATTGATAATATTTGCCTCTACCTAATATGCATCAATTATCTTTTAAGACCTAATGAGACTTATAATTTTATGTACAAGACCCTGAAATTCTCCTATTCTTCCAGTAAATAAAGCAAATGGGAAATGATGGAGATTTGTATAGGATCTCAGAGCTATAAATAAGATGGTTATTCCCAGACATCCTGTGCTTCCAAATCCACATACATTCCTGATTATCAGCCATTCCTCTGGACTGCCAATATTTTTTAGTAATAGATTTATGTAGTGTCTTTTTTCAGTATTCCAGTAGAAAAAAGACAACAGTATCTTTTTGTCTTCACCTGGGAAGATCGTATGTCTACTTGGACAGCAATGCCCCAGGGATATACAAAAGTCCCACCTATTTCTCCCAGATATTAAAAGCTGAAATTATGTTAAATTCCCTTGATATTCCACTCTAATCCATTATGTGGATGATTAACTTTTATGCTCTAGAACATTTCTAGACTCCCAAAAGGACACAATATAGTTATTACAACAGGATATAAGGTCTCAAAGGATAAGCTTCAAATTTTCTTATCTCAACTACAATACATTTAGACATGTCATATCTAAAGATTGGCTACTGATTAACTTTGAAAGACTCAGAGGAATCTTATCTTTCCCTCTCCCAAAAATGAAAGCAGCTTAGAGGATTCTGGGGTTTGACCTGGTATTGTCCAAATTAGGTTCCAAGTTTTCGTTAATAGCCCAGCCTCAATATGCCTTATTAAAGTCAGATATGCTCAATTAATATTTGACAAAGGAGGCAAGAGCATACAGTGGAGTAAAGATGGTCTCTTCAATAAATGGTGTTGGGGAAATTGAATAGATATAAGCAGAAAAGTGAAACTAGACCACAAACTTACACCATGCACAAGAATATACTCAAAAGGGATAAAAGACTTTAATGTAAGTCAGAAAAACACAAAAATTCTAGAAGAAACCATAGGCAGCAAAACCTCCGATATCTCACATAGCAGTACCTAGGGCAAGAGAAACAAAGAAAGAAATAAACAAATGGGACTACATCAAACTAAAAAGCTTCTGCACAGCAAAAGAAACCAGCATCAAAATGAACAGGGAACCAACTATATGAGGAAACACATTTGCCACTGATACATCTGATTAGGATTTAATTTCCAAAATACATAAAGTACTCATACAAGTCAACAAAAGGAAGACAAACAATCCAATTAAAACATTGGCAGAGGAACTGAATAGACACTTCTCCAAAGAGGACATACGAATGGCAAGAGAGATATAGAAAAATGATCAACATTACTAATCACCAGAGAGATGCAAACTGAAATGACAATGAGGTACCAGCTCACCTGCCAGAATGACTACCATCATTAAATCAACAAACAACCAGTGCTGGTGCTGGTGAGGACATGGAACAAAGGGAACCCAAGTATACTGCTGGTGGGAATACAGACTAGAGCAGTCACTATGGAAAACAGTGTGGGGTTTCCTCAAAAAATTAAAAATGGAACTGCCTCCTGGCTGGTATGGCTCAGTGGTTGAGCATCAACCTATGAATCAAGAGGTCATGGTTCAGTTCCCTGTTGGAGCACATGCCCAGGTTGCAGGCTCAATCCCCAGTATGAGGTGTGCAGGAGGCAGCTGATCAATGATTCTCTCTTATCATTGATGTTTCTCTCTCTCCCTCTCCCTTCCTCTCTGAAATAAATAAAAACTTAATTAATTAATTAATTAGCTTTAAATTTTTTTAATGGAACTGCCTTTTGATCCAGTGATCCCACTTCTGGGAATATATCCTAAGAAACCCAAAATACCAACCAGTAAGAATTTATGCAACCCTATGTTCATAGTAGATTATTTACAATAGCCAAGATCTGGAAACAGCCCTAAGTGCCCATTAGTAGATGAGTAGATAAAAAAAAAAAAAAAAAAAAAAAGCTGTGGTACATTTATACAATGGAATACTATGCAACAATAAAAAAGAAGGACCTCTTATCCTTTGAGATAGCATGGAGGGACCTGGAGAGCATCATGCTAAGAGAAATAAGTCAGTCAGAGAAAGACAAGTATCTCATGATCTCACTCATATATGGAATCTAATGAACAAAATAAACTGATGAATAAAATGTAACCAGAGGCATGAAAACATGAAACAGACAGATGAATCTCTGGGGAAGGGGGCAAGGAGGAGGGAAGGGATTAACCAAATAACTTATATGCATGTATGCATTGTCCATGGACAGACAAACGGTGGTGAAGGGTTGCGGTGGGTTGGGAGCCAGGTGAAGGGGTTCAATAGGGGGGAAAGAGGGACATCTGTTAATAGTCTCAACAATAAAATTTCAAACATACACACACACACACACACACACACACATACACATTAAGTCAAATAAAACTGATCCAATTCACCCTAGCTCAGCAGATAGAGCACTGGCCTTCAGACTGAAGGGTTCCGGGTTCAATTCCAGTCAAGGGCACATGCCCAGGTTGCAGGCTCGATCCCCAGTGTGGGGTGTGTGGGAGGCAGCTAGTCAATGATTCTTTCTCATCATTGATTCATAGATGTTTCTCTCTCTCTCTCTCTCTCTCTCTCTCTCTCTCTCTCTCTCTCTCTCTCTCTCTCTCTCTCTCTCTCCCCTCTCTCCTTTCCTCTCTGAAATCAATAATATATATATATATATATATATATATATATATATATATATATATATATATATATTTTAAGTCTGATACAGCCGAAACTGGTTTGGCTCAGTGGATAGAGCGCTGGCCTGAAGACTGAAAGGTCCCAGGTTCGATTCCGGTCAGGGTCATGTACCTTGGTTGTGGGCACATCCCCAGTAGGGAGTGTGCAAGAGGCAGCTGATCGATGTCTCTCTCTCATCGATGTTTCTAACTCTCTATCCCTCTCTCTTCCTCTCTGTAAAAAATCAGTTTGTTCAGCTATCTATCTCAGTTTCCCTATTTACTTGCCCTGGCTTACTGGCCTCTCTCAACCTTACTGACCTCATCTCCTACATTCAATCTTTGACGAATCAAATATTATTGAACACCTCTTGTGTGTCAGGCACTGCTCTAGACCCTAGGGGTACAGCTTTGAACCAAACAACATGGACCAGCATTGTAACCATCTTCTTCAACAAGCCCATCCCCCGGCAGGCCTTTGCATTACCTGAAATTATCTTTTTCCCCAATTGATTTTTTAGAGAGAGTGAAAGGTAGGGAATGAGGAGAGACAGAGAGAGAAACATCAATGTGAGAGAGACACATCGGTTGGTTGCCTTCCCAAAACACCCTGGCCTGGACAGGGATCAATCCCGCAACCCAGGTATGTGCTTTTGATGGGGAATTGAACCCTTGGGTTCCAGGGCTGACACTCTAACCACTGAACACACCAGCCATGGTCAGGACCATCTTAATTTATAACTTCATTTGCTTGTGGATAAGAGTTCAGGGAGGAGGCGGGGCCCATGTCTCTGTTGCTCAGAGCTGCATCCCTAGGTCTAAAAGAAAGTCTTGTTTGTAGTTAGACCTCAATAACAATTAGTTGAAAGGATATTAGCTAACATGCCTTTAACACTTGTTCTATATTCACCTGGCCCTGTTTTAAACTGTGGACACGCGTACACCTACTTAATCTTGAAAACGATCCCTATTTTACAAGACTTAACAAAGGGACAGAGAAGCTAGGCTGTGAACTATCAATATAAGAAGCATTCAAACCTGTAGAGAATTTCTGTGAGTTTATTTGAGCCAAACTGTCAACAATTGCTGGGAAGCAAAAACTCCACGGATTGAGATAATGCTCCAGAGAATGGCAGTTTCGCATTACAGTCATTACATAAAATCATTACATAAAATATATACATTACAGTCAAAAGAGAAGACGTAAGTGGGTTACAGGAAATTCATTCGTGATTAAAGAGGTGGGAGAAAGCAAAGCGGGAAACCTCTGGGGTTGGATAAAAAGTAAAATGACAGACACATACTTTCTTTTGCACAGGTGGTAGAGGATTATTAACAGTCAACAATGAACAGATCAGTGAGAGGATTTATGGTCTCCAGAAAAGGGGCATCACCCTGACATTCCAAAGGTGTGCTCTCCCAGGTGCCAAAGATAAGACAGGCTTAGTTAAGGACAAGTTTCACTTTTGTCAGGAAAGAGTCTAGCCTAAGACGTGACTATCAACTGCTTTTAGTTAAAAAGTTTTCATTTCAAACCATCCTCTGTGTTCCTGTAGGTCCCTGAGTTTGCAAGGCCACCCCGGGGTTTGTCAGGTGAGCATGTGACCCCTTTTTTGTCCACAGAACTCAGGTAACCTGGCTTCAGACTTGATGGCCCTAACCACGATACATATCGCTCAATAAAGGAATGATTCAGCCGATCATTCAGACTGACCTGGGTTCAAATCCCAGCTCTGCCGCTTGTTAGCTGTGTGGCCTAGGATTTACCTGTCGGAACCTCACATTTCTTATTGTGAGAGGTCAGGCCCCTCTTCCCAGCTCCCGGGGGAGATGTCCGGTGCGGAGGAAACAGGCTCAAAGACCCCACGCGGGCGGGCACAGGCGAACCCGAAGGGAGCTGCCCTGGCGGCTCGAGCGCCCGGGAGCTGAACCCTGATAACAATGGGAAGGGAGGTGGGACCTGGGGATGGCAATGGCGAGGGGGGTGCGGGGGAGAACGCAGGGGGCGGGGGTGATCACCGCCAGGCTCCGGGTGTGGCCTCCTAGAGGCTGCTGCCAAGTCCCGGGTTTCCAGGTTCCCACAGTCTGTCCACGCCCCACAGAGGCCCCAGGCGCTGTGAGACTGGAGGGAGTGTGTCCCTGACCCTGGGCGGGGAGAGAATCCCACCGGTAGGCAGGGTGGGGAGCTCGCGGCCCCGCCTCCCCCACCTGACTTAGTTGGAAGGGAGCTGCCCTCGGCGGGGAGCGTCCGGGAGCTGGGGACGGAGCCAACCTGCGGAGATGGAGGCGGCCGGCACCTGGGCGCTGCTGCTGCTGCTCCTGCTGCTCCTGCTGCTGCCGCTGGCGCTGTCCGCGACCCGCACCCGAGGCCGCCTGCCCCCCGGGCCCGCGCCGCTGCCGCTGCTGGGCAACCTCCTGCAGCTCCGGCCCGGGGCGCTGTACTCGGGGCTCCTGCGGGTGAGGAGCGGCGGGGTGCCCTGGTTGGAGGGGTTGGGGGACGGGCAGGGGTGCCGGTCCAGGACAGGGAGGGGGGCTGCGAGGAGAGAAACGAGAGTGGCGGGCAGAGAGGTTTCGGGGTCCCAGGGAGGAGACAAGCACGGGTCCCAGACAGAGGGGCCGCGATCCTTGGGGTGGGGCGGGGGCAGAGACCCAGGGCCGGGCGTTGCCTGGGGAGAGAAGGGACAGCACTGTGGAAGGGGGGTGAGGCGAGGAGCAGGGAAGCGGGATTCAGGAGCAGGGGTCCCAGGGCAAAGGAACCTTCAGAACCCTGGGGCGGAGGCAGCGGGCAGGGGAGCCGGGAGCCAGGAGAGGCGCTGACAGCGGGATGGTATTGGGTTTGTCCCGGGAGAGGAAATGCTGGGGAGAGGCCGGTGCGCTCTCTCTCCTAAGGACGAGCCGAGAAGAGGAAGGGGTCCCTGGGGGGAGGGGGGAAAGTGGAGGCCGGGGCTGGAGGGTTCCAGGAACCTGCCTGCGGAGCACAGAGGGGTGGAGGTGAGGGGCAGGTGGAGCTGCGAGCTCCTGGGACAGGGGAGGGTGGGAGAGCGAGAAAGACCGTGAGGCAGTCCCAACCTTTGGGATGAGGAGTGGGTGGAAGAAGCCAGAGGCTCCCCATGCCACAGGAATGGGGGTTGGAGGGGTGTCCTGGGGCGGGGATGGTAGATGCCCAGCAGTATGTGCTTCAGAATCTGAGGATTTAGCAGTGACAGAAAGGGTGGCTTGCATTGTGGGTGCGGAGAGTTGGGAGGCCAGAACCGCAGCTGCCCATCTCTGCTGCCTCACGCCTGAACTGGGAGGGCAGGGGAGGGTTCTGGGTTGCCCCAGGTCTAAGGTGACCAGACCTCCCGCTTTTGGCGGGACTGTCCCGATTTTTTGAGGACAGTCTCGCCAAGAGCCGGAGTTCTGGTCACCTTATCCAAGTCAGAAGTTAGATTTTTCAGGAGGTGATATATAGCATAGCTGCTAGCCAGGGCTGGGGAGAGAGTTTGTAGACCTGGGTGGGTGGGGGTGGGGAGGGGTAGTTTCTAGCAGGTGGCCCATCCAGCGACAGGGGCCATGATGGAGACTTGGAGACTGGAAAAGGCATCACCCCGTTTCTCTCTCTGAACCCAGCTGAGTAAGAAGTACGGGCCGGTGTTCACCGTGCACCTGGGGCCCTGGCGGCGTGTGGTGGTCCTGGTTGGGCACGAGGCTGTGCAGGAGGCCCTGGGAGGCCAGGCCGAGGAGTTCAGTGGGCGGGGAATGTTGGCAACACTGGACCCCACCTTCGACGGCCACGGTGAGTCACGAGGGGAGCCTGCTTCCGCATGCACGTGACCTTCCTGCAGGGCACAGTGCCTCGGTTTCCTCCTCCATAAAATGGAACGATAACAGTGCCTGGACATGGAGATGCAGTGAGGATTGAATGAGGACTGGGCTTTGCACCAAGCAAGCACTTGGTAGTCCCCAGGGTGTGGTAGGGTTATCTCTGGTCCAGGTGAAACCCCCAGGGCAGGGAGGGAGGGGCAAACTTTCTAGGCACTGGGCCTTAACTGATGTGTAAACACCTAATGTAGAAACTATTATCTGTGCTAAGACTGAGTCCCGCCCAGCAGTGACTAAACTGCCCAGTTTGGCTTCCTCACAGAGATTTACCTGGGGGGTAGTCAGACTTGTCACCAGAAAGTGACAGTCTGGAGAGATCAGGAATGAGGGAGGGGCTGGCAGAGGGGTCAGGGCGAGGATGGGGGAAGCCCTGGGACTCTAGGAATAGGACGAGGCTCTTGACCCAGCCTGCTTGCTGGGGGTGTCTTCCGGAAAGGTGGGGAATCTGAGCGGAGACTCACAGGATGAGTGAGAAAGGTGTTCCTGGTGGAGACCAGCATGGGCGTGAGAAGTGTACACCCATTCAGCTGACAGGTTTTCATTATGCCTGGTCCTGCGCTGGGTGCTGGGGATACAGAAGTAACTGAGAAAGATGCGGTGTCCCCTTTACAGTGTGGGGGGAGAATGGGGAGAATGGGAGAAATCTGGGAAGGCTTCTCAGAGGAGATGACATTTGAGTTGAGACATGAAGAATAAATGGAGTTAGTTCAGGGAGGGTGGAGAGCTGAGTGATCCAGGCAGGGGAACAGGCATAGAGGGGGAATCCTGACACCTCTGAGGAAATGAGAAGGCAGTGCGACTGTAGTGGGATGAGTAATGAAGCTGAAGTTAGCTTCATGACTCAGGTCGTGCAGGGCCTGAGTCCTGCACGGCGTTCGGGCTTTGGATTTTCTGGAGGGGCGATAGATAGTAAGCAGGGAAAGGGTGCAGGGTTAGAAAGGTCCCTGGTTGCTATGTAGGAAACCAGGGAGAGGGCTGGGCTGGATCATGGCTGGGCCTTGGTGTTGGAATGGGGGTTGGAAGTAGGGGAGGAGTCCATGGCTCCAAACAGGGATAGGGGTGGTGAGGCTAAGAACAGGGGGGAGGAGAGGTGCTGAGGCCAGCTGGGGACACAGTGAAGGGGTGGTGGGTAGGGAACACTTGGGAGGAGACATCCTAGAGGCAATACAGGCCAGAATTCTATAAGCGGGAACACTGAGCTCAGAGTGGGGACAGGTCTATCCAGGGCAGGTCTCTGAGATGAGGGAGGAAAGCTGCCACTGCATCCTCTTCACACACACACACACACACACACACACACACACACACACCCCGGTTCAACCTCCAGACAACGTGGGGCAGGGACCACACAGTACTCCCTAAACATTAGTGGAAGGAAGGATGAAGAGCAAGGAAGAATAAAGGTATGGGTGGGTACAAAGAGTAGTAAAAAGATGAAGGAAGAAGAAAGGAAGGAAGGAAGGAAGGAAGGAAGGAAGGAAGGAAGGAAGGAAGGAAGGAAGGAGTCTTCACTGACCTGGTTGATCACAGAATAGGAGCCTGGATGATCCCAGTTACCAACTTTTCAGGAAAATGTCACCCATGCCCCAAGGACAGGTATTTGTTAAGCACCTACTTAGTCCTTATCTCCGGACTTGGTAGATGTAGACTCAGGACAGGCCCGAAGAACCCCCTCTGGGCACTTCACTGGGAGGAAGGGGTAGTCCTGGGGAATGGAGAGAGGGGCCGGTCCCTCCTTGAGTCTAGCCTTCCGTGCAGGGCTTTTCTTCTCCAATGGGGAGCGGTGGAGGCAGCTGAGGAGATTTACCCTGCTCACTCTGCGGGACCTGGGCATGGGGAGGCGAGAAGGCGAGGAGCTGATCCAGACCGAGGCCCAGTGTCTGGTGGAGGCCTTCCAGGGAACAGCAGGTGAGCAGGGCAGAGGCAGCCCAGGGTCCCCGGGGTCCTGAGTGAGTGTGGGGAGGACCCTCCCATGATGGCTGGGCTGGGGTTCTATGCACCTCCACCTCTAGCTCCTCCTTTACTCTGTTTCTGTCTGGCCGTCTCCCTGACAAGAGTCTCTGTGCCCCTGGTATCGTCACAGCACTTTTCTGCCTCGTCTCTCTCCTTGCCTGTCTATCTGTGTCCCTATTTGTCTCTTTCTCTCTGTCCTTGTCTGTTTCTCTGACCCTGTCTGTCTGTCTCTGTCTCGATGCCTTTCTCTTGGTGATTGTTTTTGGCCCCCATGGAGTTGGTCCTCTCCGAATCCATCACAACACTCCTCCTTGCCCCCTCCCCACCAGGACAGCCATTTGACCCCTCCCTGCTTCTGGCTCAGGCCACCTCCAACGTTGTCTGCTCCCTCACTGTGGGCCTCCGATTCCCCTACGAGGATAAGGAGTTCCAGGCTGTGGTCCAGGCTGCCGGTGGCATCCTGCTGGGGATCAGCTCCCCTTGGGGCCAGGTAAGCGGTGAGACCCCTCTCCAACCACTTTCCCCAAATGTTCTTGCCTACCTCTTCCAGGTAACCCCCAGAGCACCCATCCACCTGCCCCTCCACCTGGATGCAGGGCCAGGCCCCATGGAAACAGCTGCCCTTCTCCCAACAGGCCTATGAGATGTTCTCCTGGCTCCTGCAGCGCCTCCCAGGCTCCCAAACCCAGCTCCTCAGCCACGTGGGCATCGTGGCCACCTTCGCCATGGAGCAGGTGAAGCAGCACCAGGGGAGCCTGGACCCCGCGGGCCCTCCACGCGATGTTGTGGATGCCTTCCTGCTGAAGATGGCAAAGGTAAGGGGAGGTGGAGGTTTGTAGCCGCTCCTGAATGGGGACGGTGGCCTGGCTGCCTGCCACCCAGGTGTGTCTGTGCGTGTGTGTGCACATCTCCTCTTCCCAGTGCATTGTTCTCTCTGCCTCTCCCCACCGCACGTCATGAGTATCTGAGTCTCCTGCATTTCTCCTTTCTCAGCCCTCCAACCTCACCCCATGCCCAGTGACCTGCCACTAGCAATGGCCACCATTGCTTCACCTCACTCCCCACCCCTGCTCCCCCTACCCACACAGGACACTTCCTGAGACTTAGTTATTTCTTTATGAAAACTTGCATTAGCCCCTTATACTAAAAAGTCTGATTTATTAATTATATAAGAACAATTTATTGTTATGTGAGAAAAGGAGATTTCAGGGGACTCCTGTGGAAATAACTAATTTTGCATTGTACAAACTTTGGAATTATGGGAGCTATCCACCTTGTTCATGGAGAGAGAATTTTTTCTTATCTGTGTGGCCCCAATTCTTTCTTATACCTTTTTAATTAAAAAAATAATTGTAGTAAAGTACACATAACATAAAATTCACCATCTTAACCATTTTTGAGTGTACGCTTCACTAGTGTTAAGTGTGTTTATATTGTTGTGCAACCAAATACTCCTTCCAACTTGCAAAGCTGAAGTGCTATCCTCTCAGCATCGCCCCATTCCCCCGGCCCCAGCTCCTGGCAAGCACCAGTCTATTTTCTGTCTTCATTAACTTGCCTTCTCTGGGTGCCTCGTGTAAGTGAGACCATAACTACTTTATTGCATTTAGCATCATGTCCTCAGGTCCATCTACATTATAGCATATGATGGGATTTCCTTTCTCTTTTTTTAGTATATTTTTATTGATTTCAGAGAGAAAGGCAGAGGGAGAGAGAGATTAGAATCATCAATAATGAGAGAGAATCGCCCTGACCAGTTTGCTCAGTGGATAGAGCATCGGCCTGTGGGTTGAAAGGTCCCAGGTTCGATTCTGGTCAAGGGCATGTACCTTGGTTGTGGGCACATCCCCAGTAGGAGGTGTGCAAGAGTCAGCTGATTAATGTTTCTAACTATTCCTTTCCCTTCATCTCTATAAAAAATCAATAAAAGATATATTTAAAAAAATAATAATGAGAGAATCATCGATTGACTGCCTTTTGCACACCCCACACTGGGAATCAAGCCCACAACCCAGGCATGTGCCCTGACCAGGAATTGAACTGTGAGCTCCTGGTTCATAGGTAGACGCTCCAACACTGAGCCACACTATCTGAGCAAGGGATATAATCTTTTTAAGGCTGAATCCTATTCCATTGTATGGATAGATCACATGTCAAGTATGCATTCATCCAGTGAGGGCATTTGGCTTACTTCCACCTTTTAGTGACTGTGGCTCACAGCACTGTGAATATGAGTGCACAAATAATCTCTTCGAGACCCTGCTTTCAGTCTTTTTTTTTTTTTTAATATATATATATTTTTATTGATTTTATACGGAGAGGAAGGGAGAGAGATAGAGTTAGAAACATCGATGAGAGAGAGTCAGCTGCCTTCTTGCACACCCCCTACTGGGGATATGCGCGCAACCAAGGTACATGCCCTTGACCCGAATCGAACCCGGGACTCTTCAGTCCCCAAGCCGACGCTCTATCCATTGAGCCAAACCGGTCCCGGCGTGCTTTCAGTCTTTTTGGAGATAAGTCCAGAAGTGGAATTGCTGGGTTATTCTATTTGAATTTTCTTTTGAGAAACTGTGATACCATTTTCCAGAGCAGCTGCACCATTTTAAATTCTCACCAATGGCGACTGTGGTTCCCCTTTCCCCACGTCCCACCAGCACTTGTCATTTTCTGTTTGCATGTTTATGTGGTCATTCTCTTTCATTTGTAAAAACATTTCAACCAAACAGAATAATATCAAGAGCCCACATCCTGGCTTTTCCAAACATTTATTTAAACTCCTTGACCAAACTTGAACTTGCTGTGCTACCCCAAGCCCAGCTGCACGGCCCCCGCCACCTGCAGGCTGTGTTCTCTGAGTCCCTCTGCCCGGTTTCTTCCAGGAGGAATGCGATTCAGACACAGAATTCACCGACAAGAACATGCTGATGACCGTCATTTATCTGCTGTTCGCGGGGACGGTGACCATCAGCGCCACGGTCCGCTACATCCTCCTGCTCCTGCTGAAATACCCTCAGGTCCAAGGTAGGAGCCTTTTCTGTCTGCCTACCCTGGTAACAGAAGCGAGAGCTGGAGAGGAAGAATGTTCAGGAGAGTGGGCAGCCTGAGCCAGGGGCTGGAGGTGACCATGAGCCCGGCATGTGGGATGTCCAAGGACCGTGAAGCAGAGGGACTGCTGGTAGTGAGAAATGAGGCAGGAGATGTCTCCGGGGCCTTGTCCCTTAATCCTGGGCAATGGGGATCCATGGAAAGATGTTGAACCGGGGAGGTGGGGCCAATTAGCATTTTTAAAAAATTCTTTGGGCTTGCATGAAGTAGGTGGGAAGCCTGGGTAGGAACCGGAGTGGGAGAGGACAGGGCTGGGTCAAACAGTAGGGAGAAAAGAAGGGGCCCAGTAGGCAGGTGGTAGAGAGAGATGGAGAGCGATACATCCAGGGACAGGCCTAGGGCTCTGGCCAGGGGCCTGGAGGCCCCGGGGGCTACCCCAAGATGGGAACAGAAAGAATGAGAGACTGTCTCAGGGAAGAGACCGAGGCCAGTCTGGGACATCTGAAGTGTGAGGGGCCTGGGACCACCTGTGAGGAGGCACCCAGGACAGGAGTTGGAAAACAAATTGGGGTCCTGAGAGCACAGGCAGGAACTGAAGCTGGGATGGTGAGGAGCAGTATAGAGCTGGTAATATGCTCCAAGGAGCCCTGACTGGGTTGGCTCAGTGGATAGAGCATCGGCCTGCGAACTGAAGGGTCCCAGGTTTGATTCCCTACCCCTCCTCTGACCTCCAGTCCTCTTCTTGCCGCAGAGCGCGTGCACGAGGAACTGACAAGGGAGCTGGGTGCTGGCCGGGCGCCAGGCCTGGGAGACCGAGCTCGCCTCCCGTACACGGACGCGGTTCTGCATGAGGCGCAGCGGCTGCTGGCACTGGTGCCCATGGGGATACCCCGAGCCCTCACGAAGACTACCTGCTTCCGAGGGTACACCTTGCCCCAGGTGGGTCTTCAGTGCAGCCATGCCCAGTAGTATATCTGCCTTAGGCCTAAGTCTTTTGTTATCTGTGTCTCTCTGACTTTTTCTGGATCTTGGTCTTTCTCTTTCTGTATCTTTTCTCTTCTCCTTCTCCTACTCCTCTTCTTTCTCTTTTTCTTCCTCCTCCTCCTTCTCCTCTCTTCCTCCTCCTCCTCCTCCTCCTCCCCCTCCTCCTCTTCATCCTCCTCCTCCTCCCCATCTCAGTTCCTATCCTTTACTAGAGAGCAACTTGGTGCTAACACCACCAGGGGGCGATGTTTCTTCAGAAACCTAAGGCTCCTTCTGACAAACTGCTTCCTTCTTGAGCTTCATTGTAGTAGAATAAATCCTTGGCAGTTGCAATCCAGTCTTTTATCTGGGACCTTGGGCAAATCACTTCCCCCTCTGAGCCTCCACCTATCCCTCTTCTAAATTGGGAAAGGTAATAGTATTAACCAGGATTGCAAGGAGTCTTATGAGGCTATGTCTGTAAAGCACCAATGTGGCCCTCGGTACCTGGGGGGTGGCAGTCTTGTGCATGAGGCAGCAGCAGGGACTATTGTTAACACAGTGACTGTGCAATGACAACCACTACTGATGGTGACAACAGTAATAATGATTGAGGATCTGCTCTGTGCCAGATGTTTAAATTTCAGAGCAATCCTACACCACTAACATGCCCATCTTACAGATGAGAACTGAGGCCTAGCTGGTTTGGCTCAGTGGATAAGAGCATCGGCCTGTGGACTGAAGAGTCCCAGGTTCAATTCTGTCCAAGGGCACATGCCTAGGTTGTGGGCTCGATCCCCCAGTGGGGGGTGTGCAGGAGACAGCAGATCGATGGTTCTCTCTCATCATTGATGTTTCTATGTCTCTATCCTTCTCCTTTACTCTCTAAGATCAATAAAAAAATATATTTTTTAAAAAGGTTAGAAGCCTTGCCAGGCTCATCCAGCCCACAAGTGGTCAGGGAAAGCTATTAACCCAAGCCTATGCTTTAACCACAGCTATCTTCCTTTCTATTGTTTTAATAGCAATAGCATGACCCTGTCTTTTCCTGTAGTCCCCTCATCTCCCCGGCTCAGAATCCATTAGCCAGAGTTCCTAGCAATGGAAGTCCCTCGCTTTCCTCACTCCCTACCTTTCTTCACCTTCCAACACAGTCCTGAGAACATGGCAACTCTGATCTCAGCTCAAGGGGCTGCCACTGTTCCTGAACTTAAGCAGAGGGAGCCGTTGTACACAACCTCACCCACCTACCTTTGCCTTCACCTCCCGAAGACCAGAATGGCAAAGAGCTGAACTCCAGGCCTCCAGAATCACAGCATACCTCAAAGTTTAAAACAATCCTATATTCTTATATAATAAAGGCTAATATGCAAATTGACCCAAGGGTGGAATGACTGGTTATTCAGGGTCAAACACTCAACAGAGAAGCTGCCCCCTAGTGGTCAGTTTGCTTCCACAGGGGGAGTGCTGCTCAGCCAGAAGCTGGGCTCACGGTGGAGAGCTGGTTTAAGCCGGCAGTTGGACATCCCCCAAGGGCTCCCAAACTGAGAAATGGCGCAGGCAGGGCTGAGGAATGCCCAGCCCAAGTGCACAAATCTTATGCACCAGGCCTCTACTTTAAAAATAACAAGCTCTGGCCCTAGCTGGTTTGGCTTAGTGAATAGAGCATTGGTCTATGGACTGAAGGGTCCTTGGTTCGATTCCCAGTCAGGCCACATGCCTGGGTTGCAGGCTCAATCCCCCATAAGGGATGTGCAGGAGGCAGCTGATCAATGATTCTCTCCCATCATTGATGTTTCTATCTCTATCTCCCTCTCCCTTCCTTCTCTGAAATCAATAAAAAATATAAAAATAAATAGATAGATAGAAATAACAAGCTCTTGCTGTGTCAAATATTGCCTTGGGCAAATTGCTTAAGTTCCTTGGGCCTTAAAATGGGGATCATATTAGTAACTGCTTCCTAGGCTTGTTAAAACATAGTGAGTTTATATGTGTGCTTGTGTGTGTGTAAGCGGAAGACATGTACCTATTACATGTGAGGTTATATATATACATAAAATGCTTAATAAACTGCTTGGCCCATAATAAGCTTGTTACATGTGGATGCTATTACGTTTTGTGAACCAGTGTCTGTGACAGTGCAGATTCCTGTGCTCTGCCGCCCAAAACTTGGTGGTGAGAGATATTTGTAGTTCTGTTGTGATTTCCCCCCAGGGCACTGAGGTCTTCCCCCTCCTGGGCTCTGTCCTGCATGACCCCGAAGTCTTCACGCAGCCAGAGGAGTTCAACCCAGGCCGATTTCTGGATGTAGATGGAAGGTTCAAGAGGCAGGAGGCATTCCTGCCCTTCTCCTTAGGTATCTACTGGGCTGGCTTCTGCTCACCTGCTGGCTGGGGTGTGCGAAGGTTAGCCCAGCCCTATCTCCCTCTCTCCTCCAGGGAAGCGCGTCTGCCCTGGGGAGGGCCTGGTGCGAGCGGAGCTGTTCCTTCTCGTCACCGCCATCCTGCAGGCCTTCTCCCTGGAGAGCCCGTGCCCAGTGGGTGCCTTGAGTCTCCAGCCAGCTGTCAGTGGCCTTTTCAACATCCCTCCAACCTTCCAGCTGCAAGTTCGGCCCCGCTGACCTCCATCCCACTCCATCGTGTGGAACAAATGAAGGAGAGGGCATTGGGAGGTAGCAGTCTCGACCTTGGGCCTGGACAAGGCCATGTCCAGAGCCATATCTATACCACGGGAAATCACACTCACACACCTGTAGTTGCTTTTGAGAGTTAGTCACACAGATAGTCGTCCACAGGGCCACACTCACTGAACCACACACCCATACACAACCACAAGGCGACTCAGCCACACAAGCTTTCTATAGACATAAACCCAGTCTTTCTGGAGTCATAACCACATGCCCAGATAACCCACCAACGTGCATACAACGTAAGTCCCCTGGGCTCACAACCCATGTGTGGGAGTTCAGCTGCCACTGTATTCTCGGCCCACAGGCCCTCTTCACTAAGCACACTTAACAGTACCCCAGAGGCAGGGAGCATGCCCCTTCCTGGGTCATGTCACCTCGCAGAAAGACTGTCCTCAGCCCTCGGGTCCACACCTTATACAGGAATGTAACTCACCAGCTACGTGCTCCCAGCCACTGGACCACACAGCCAGCGCTCATCTGGCCTCGTCCTGACTCCTGTTGAGACAGTCACCCCCTGGCCTTTGCACTTTCAGCCTTAAAGGACCCTTTCTAAGCACCCTGGTCCCCAAATTCTCCCAAATACGAACATACCCCCATTGTGCAGTCACACACACAGAGCTGGAACCAAGTAAACTAGGACACATGGGGACCCTCGGACCAGGTTATATAACCATATTGGAAGGCTCTCCTACCCCCTCAACACATACTGACCCACCGTCCCTACTCAAAGTCCCACGTAGAAACGGGGGAAGGGGCTAGAGGGACGAGTAGGGAACAGATTTCAACTCCCTGTGTCAGGGAAGAGACCAGATCTGCTGGCCTTGTGACTCGAAGGTCCCTGTTTTGTAATAAAAGTTTGTTTCTGGCCTGTGATCCAGCCCCGTGGCAGAGCCTGGTGTGTGTGACAGTGTCTGACATTGTGAGTAAGGGGCGGGGATGGGGGCGTCCACCCCTCCCTGGAGGCTGGGCGGGAGCTGAAAAACACGGCCCCCGCCCACCCTGGCTGTTGACATCAGTACCAGATGTGGGAGGAGGGGCCTGTGCTGGGCTTACTTCCCGGAGGCTGAGGGGGGTGGGGAGAAGGTAACCTCCGAACAGCTGGCCTGGACCTTGCACAGGGTGGGCCTCAGCCAGGGAAAGCCTGAAAATGGCCCATCCAATCCCTGGGAACTCCCATCTAAAAGCGGATTCTGAAACAAACCCTAACTCTACTTCCGCTTTTTTAAACCCTTTTCCTCCCCTTTAAGAAGCCAGAAGCATCGTTCTATTTGTCAGTTAGCAAAGAAGTTTTCAAATACAAAAGTAGACCAAGTATGATCACCAATCCCATTTAATAACCATCACCTTCCTGCTTTTTATTTCATCCACTTTTCTGCTAGTTTTATGACAATTTTCAAAATTCCAAATTCCAGTAAAGCTGAGGGAGTTATTGGGGAGCTGCCATGAGCCCCTGGGTTCAGTTTGCTTTAGTACGTTTCTCTCCACCTGTCCATCCAGCTCCTTTTTCTAGGAATTTCAAAGTAATTTGCCAACAGTTTATCTGACCCCTGAATGCGTTAGCAATGCATGTATCATTAATTTTTTTTAATTTATTGATTTTAAAGCAAGAGAGGACATGGACTTGTTGTTCTACTTATCCATGCATTCATTGATTAATTCTTGGATGTGCTCTGACCTGGCATCAAACCTGCAACCTCAGTGTATTGAGACAACACTCTTAACTGACTGAGCTGCCCAGCCAGGGCCTAAAGTTTTGTGTTTGCCCCACCCCCCACCATGTGATCACTTTATTTTTGGCTTATGTTCTGTAGAGGTAGCCCAGTACAGTGATATGATGAGACTGGGATCGGATCCTAACTTTGCCACTTCCAGCTCATCACAGCCTAACTGAGGATGTAGCATCTGAGAGATCTACTAACTTTCAAAAAAGAAATGTGAAAAATTTTGGGACTTAATAGAAACAAAATACCAGCTAAGTTCTGGGATGTACTAGTACTATTACTACGTGTTAGTATGTCAGTGCTCTGGCAATAAAAGGGACCACATACTAAACCTGATAAGCTCAGGGGAGGCCTGCACGACGCCTTGTAAACACAGACGGAAAGTAACCACATAGGACAGTGCGAACATAATTTCTAACTAAAAGCAGGTCATGGCCCGTAGCCCGTCCTGGGCCTGGAGCTTCCTTGACAAAGGTCAACCTTTCCTAAGTGAGCCTGTCTTTTTGCATCTTAGGCAGCATTCCTTTGAAATGTTAGAGTAATCTTTCCCAGACCCCTCAGGGCACACCCAAGGAACCAGAGCTGAGCACACAGAAGCCCCTGTTATCTTGTTCCTCCACATACCATCTCTATGTGCTGTAACTGCTCACCGTCCTGTAAAAGGAGCACGCATCCTGTTTTACTCTTCATCCAATCTCAGAGATTCCCCCGGCTCCGCCCTGCCACCCCTACTTCCGCCTTTGCTTTCTCCCATCCCATAAACCCACCACCAATAGATTTTCTGTAACCCACCCTACCCCCCTCCTCTGGTTCTGAGGTACAAAATAAGCTGCAAAACTGCCATTCTCTGGAGCTCTTCTTGATCCATTGAGATTTTGATTCCCTGCAATTGCCATCAGGTTAGCTCAAATACTCTCATAAACATTCTTCACAGGTTTGGACATGCCTCACATCAACAGTGTGACGTGAAAAGGAATGAGTGATGTTTAAGGTTTCCTCCTTTTAAATTAAAGCGATGGCTGGCTTTCTTTTGCGCTCAAAATTCACATCCAGCGAAGCATGGGGTCAGGAATACTAGCAAACTTCTTTCTGCAAGGAAGGATGGAATTGGACTCCATCAGTGTGAAAGGTGTCATGCGTTATGATGGTTTTAGTTTGGGCGTGTGTGGTAAAGTATTCATCACAATATCATTTTAGCCATTGGTGTACAATTCAGAGCATTATATACATTTATAATGTATCTGTATCCAAAATTTCATCTGCAACAAAGAGGCTTAACTTTTTAAAACAATAACTCCCCCCTTTAAAATTTGCTTTTCAAAGGTTACAACCACAGGTGCTCTCCCTCAGGACACGTGCCCGGATCCCCATTCCTTTCCCTCTCTCCTCCCCCCACAATCCCCTCCCCCAGCCTCTAAGGGACCTCACAGAAGTGAGGCCTGCAACCAGGGGAGCAGTGGGCAGCAGCATTTCTTCCAGGGCTCACCCCCAAACCTGTCTCCAAGGCCCCTTTGCTCTGACTCCCCAGTGTGTCAACACAGCCCAGCCTAGCTCTCCTGTTGCTTCTTCCACTCCCTTTCTTGTTCCACTGTCCTAAGTATGATTTTGCTGCCATCTTACTTGCTTTTCTACAAAAAAAAAAAAAAAAAAAAAAAAGAAAGAAAAGAAAAAATTACAACCACAATGCCTAGTCTTGCACCCCTCACTGTTAGCAGCTCTTCAGTGTTGGTGCTCATGTTTCCTGACAGTTTCCTAGACGTAATTTATAACTGGGTTTGTTCAAACCAAGACCCAAAGCCTCACGATACAGTGCCTTTGTTTAAACCCTCTCACATCTTTGTTTAAAGCTCTTATATCTTTGAAATCTGCAACCATTCTCTAACATTTTGTGTGCCACTTTTTAAAAATATATATATATTATTGATTTTTTTACAGAGAGGAAGGGAGAGGGATAAAGAGCCAGAAACATCAATGAGAGAGAAACATTGATTAGCTGCCTCCTACACATCCCCCACTGGGGATGTGCCCACAACCAAGGTATATGCTCTTGACCGGAATCGAACCTGGGGCCTTTCAGTCTGCAGGCTGACGCTCTATCCACTTAGCCAAAGCTGTTAGGGCTTCTGTGCCACTTTTTGTTTGTTTGTTTCAGAGAGGAAGGGAGAGATAGAAACATCAATGATGAAAGAGAATCATTGATCAGCTGCCTCCTGCCTGCTTTCTACTGGGAATTGAGCCTAAAATCCAGGCATGTGCCCTAGCCAGGAATCGAACCCTGACCTCATGATTCGCAGGTCGACACTCAACCACTATTAGTAAGCCACACCTGCCACTCACCACTTATTTCTTGAAGAAATGTGTCCTTTGCCCTGTACAATTTTTCTTTTTCTTTTTCTTTCTTTCTTTCTTTCTTTTTTTTTTTTTTTTTTTTTTTTTAGAGAGAGAGAAAGAAGAAAAGAGGGAGAGGGAAAGAGAGAGAGAAAGAAACATGATGTGAGAATGAAACATTAATTTGTTTTGCCTCCCATAGGTGTCCTGACCGAGGAAAGAACCCACAACCTGGGTATGTGCCCTAACCAGGAGTCGAACCTACAACCTTTCAGTGCACAGGACGATGCTCCAACCCACCTGGCCACACTGGCCAAGGCTGTACAACTTTTCATATCCTAGATTTGTCGGGTGGCATTTTTGTGGTGCTACTCAAGATATCCTTCCATTCCCAGGAATCCCCTATAAACTGGGAATCAGGTCAGATTCTGGCTCATTCTGTCAAGAGCTTCTTACTGGAGGTGCTGACCCATTCTTGGAGCATCCTCGTAGTGCATCCAGGACCTGATCTCTGGAAGAAAGTTTTCTGTCAATCTTTCACTTACTGGCCTTGGCTGAGGGACCCTTTAAAACCAAATGGAGCCCAGCTGGCTGGCATGGCTCAGTGATAGCGCGTGACATATAAACCAGGAGGTCATGAGTTCAATTCCTGATCAGGACACATACACCCTCTCCCTTCCTCTCTGAAATCAATAAATACATATATATTTTTTTTAAAAATCGAATCAAATCTCCTTACTCAGAGCCAACCAGTTGGGAAGCCTGGAGCTTCGTTGCTGGAGGATCTAAATGGGTACAGACACTATGAAACACAGTACGAATTTCTTCAAAACAATTAAATACAGAATTATCATATGACCCAGAATCCCACTTTTGGGTATATACCTAAAAGAAATCAGTATCTCAAAGAGATATCTGGACCCCCATGTTCATGGCAGCATATTCACAACCTAAATGTTGCTCTGTGAATGGATAAAGAGAATGTGATATACACTTGACTCTTGAACAATACAGGGGTTAAGTGTGCCACACACACACACACACACACACACACACACACACAGTAAAAAATCCTCACAGAGCCCTGGCTGGTTTGGCTCAGTGGTAAGAGTTTCTGCCTATAGACTGAAGGGTCCAGTCCTATACAGGTCAACGGCACATACCTAGGTTGGGGCACATGTGGGAGGCAACCAATCGATGCGTCACTCTCACATTGATGTTTCTCTCCCTGTCTCTCCCACACCCTTCCACTCTCTCTAAAAATCAGTGGAAGAAATATCCTCCAG